ACATCTTTTTGGACTTTTGAAGTCAGAAACCGCAGGTCCATAAGCAGCGCTGGTGATGGGGGTTTATTTCAAGCTCACAAGACTCAGTCAAACAGCCAGAAGTCAAGCCTGACACAAAAACCAGCAAACTTCTCGAATGAGAATAAGGCTCCTTTGGGGATGACGCTCCAACAGTTTGTTCCGTCTGACAAGGGGTTCCTCAAATACTTTCAAGAACTACTTGAGGTAAATTCGACACAGTCCAACTTTGTCAAGTGTAAGTGGCATACACTGGAAAAAAAAATCATTACAAAATAATGGTAAAATACTGGCAGTTTAGATCATAAATCTGCTCATGAATGAAATAATAAAGCATCAGATTTAAATGCGCATGCCCAAAGCGCCCACAATGTCAAGTCATGGAGAAAGGAATGTGGCGCCTCTCTCCACCGCTTGACAGAAAATGCTGTTCTGTGGTGTGAAATCCGTCTGTTATTCTGAGTCAAGCATTAACAGTTCATTGGCATATGGGGATGAATACTGAACAGTATTTTACATTTTCATGACAGTGCAGTTTCCTTTTCGTATAACAGGAAGATGATCGCCGACAAAGAGCACTAACATATGAGACGAATGGTGCCATGTTTGCCCGAAAGTTGCAAAACACTTTTTCTGAGGCGCTGCGACACGTCGACAGGCTGTACAACCTCAAGTTTGGCGGCATGAGCCGAAAGGCGATCTCACACGCGCCCTATATGATTGACAAGTTTGTGATGCAGGAGCTGCAGGACGCGTGAGTGCTCACAAGTTGTAATCTCAGGCCTTCTTGAGCACTGACCGCTGAGGATACCTTGCTCCTATTTCTGCAGATTCCCAGAAGAATTTCGCAAGACCTCAAGCCACCGTTGGCGTCAATCAGACGGCATGCAATATGCCTTTTCCTACTTTTATTTCCTGATGAGCGTCAAGCAGCAGGCTAACATCTCAAAAGTGTTTGACGCTGCTGACAAAGACCACTCTGGCGTTCTGTCTGAAAGTGGGATTGAAGCTCTGGCCATGAAAATCTACAAGCTGCCACTCAAACCCGAGGTGGTCTGTTCATGAGACATTGAGTGGCCAAAAGTAATTTGGATTCAATGAGTCATCTGTTATTCTGTGGTTACTTCTAGGACTTGACGAGGTTGAAGAATCAGTTGATCGACTGCTCAAAAACTCTTCCAAATGACGTCAGGGAGCTGAAACCCAATCAGGAGGTCTACCATGACCAAAAGATGGTCGGCATTTCGGGTCATAAGAAAACCCCTAAATTAGTAGTTACTCGCCTGTCCAAATAACATTTCAGTCCATGATAATAATTCAATGGTTTCCTTGTCTACAGTTTCAGGTCACGAAAGAACTCATCATGAACTGCAAACCTATCATAGATCGCATTCTACCTTTCCAGACCAGAAAAAGTACAAGTGAGAGTTCCTCCGACAATGTGTTGAGATCAACATCGCCACGTTTCTTTTGCTGACAAGTCAACTTCCCAACAGGTATCAGGTCATGGGGAAGGAGGAGATACATTTCAAATTGCTTCACAATGACGTGGCTGAGGCAGATCGCATATTTGATGACGTTCGTAAACGACCAAGGTAGGAAGAACCCTCAAAGCATTCAAAAGCAATTCAGTTCTTGGCTTTGGAATGAATCGCTTCTGCACTTATTCCAACAGGAAGTTCATCTGCATAAACGATGACCTTGACCACACCCAAAGCACTGCTAAGCAAGTGCAAACAAAGTTGGTGAAATTTTACCAATCCATGTTCCCGCGGCCGTCCCAGTTTGAGCTCCCCAAAGGCACGTCCAACAGGTTCCTGCACATGGATGAGCATCTTTAAGGGATTGGGTTGGGGGTATCACGGTAGATTATGGTCATACCTGACATGTTCCTACAAATTAAATCAATGTGTACAAGAAGAATTGCTAATTCTGTTGGTCCACCAATTATTTGTGACAGATGAAAACTGTCAGTTTCCTGTTTAAATAGCTTTCTCAAGGACTTGATTTCCCAATTCACATTCACACCTCCAATCACTATCATCTCTCTATGAAATGTTGAATTATACTAGATATCAAAAAACTGTAAACGCGCACATGGACGCGCGTGCATCTAGCATTAAGGTCCCAGTCGATCAAGGTCGGTGGCACGGATGTGACCCAACTGAGGGACTTTCGGGTGTGCCAAAGAGCAGCTGAGGGAGGAACAAGGACCGCTGACCAAAGTCAACAGATTCGGACGACTCAGGGTGTGAAGGCCAATCGGCCACCGTGCCGCCCTCGACTCGTTCCTCTGTCTCATGACCACA